CTCTGCGTACACACTCTGCGTAATTATTATAAAATATTGAGAATAACTCTCAATAAAATACCATTTAGGCTTGTGGGCGGTTATACTCTTTTAATTCAAATTCCAACAAAGCATCATAATGACCACCAGACACTTCACCACTACAGAAATAAACACATTTCTTTCAACCACAACCCAGCCAATTGCACCAGTTGGTGGTTGAGAGATTTGGCAGTCAAGTATAAAATGCATGAACAAGGCATGCAGTGAACTAGTTTGACGTTAATCGAATAAGCACCTCAGGATGGCACTTTTGTGCCGAAACATGTAGTGCGGGAGAAAGCAGTGAGGTAGATAAGTGTATGCACTAANGAATGGGAAACAGTTAACAAACATCACCCCAAAAAAAAATAAAAATCAGTATCCCAAAAGTTAAACAGCTATGCTTTTATGGTGAAACTACGCTTTACCAAATAAAAACACACACTAAGTGCTGCTGCTGTCTAGAGGAAATGTTTCTGATAAAGGCTGCCTATAAAACAAACCTCCTCAGAAATACCTCTCTCTTATGACCGCCCCACGGTTTGGCGCCACTTATTTGTATGACCGCCCCACGGTTTGGGCGTCACTTACTCTCCTCTGTAACCGCTCTCTCTGTATAGTGCCCTTTACGTTGGGTGTCACCTTCTTGTTGTCGCCNGTATAAAATAAATGCTCAAAGACACTCTGCAACTTTCAATAACAGACATACAACAGTACATTCGATTTCTCCCCCTATATTATTTTGTAATCCTCCCTTGCATTAACACACAGTTGCACATTATTCTGAATAATCTCTAATGCAACAAATAGGTGGAATTTTCAAAACAAAGAACAACTCCAATCTCTTGCTACAGTTTCAAATGACAACCACTTCACTGAACCATTCTTGTACATTAAATCACAAATTCACTGAATATGCATGCTACCAATAATGCAGAATTCTTTCTGGCAAAGGTCAAGACTGCAATGCCAACTGAAGCATACAAGGTGTGGCAATAAAGAAACCGGATTCATGCTCTAACCCTTTATTAAAAAAAAATCAGACAGTCGAAATGTTATCCCCTTCAATGTAGTCGCCTCCCCGATCCCTACACCGCTCCATGCGAATTTTCCACTGTTGGAAGCAGTGCTGCAGGTCATCTTGTGTTATGCTCTTCAAGAGTTGCGTCGCTTTTGCTTTCACTGCATCCACGGACTCGAACCTGGTCCCTTTCAGCGCAGACTTGATTTTTGGGAAGAGAAAAAAGTCGCACGGTGCTAGGTCCGGAGAATACGGTGGATGTTCCATCACTGGAATGTTGTTTTTTGCCAAATACCTCTTCACAGATAGCGCGTT